TGCTCAGGACTGTACAGACACTTCTCAATTTCTGGGAGGAGAATTAAGAGTTAAAAAAGTCTTGAATAGCAACTTCTCCTTCAAATGTCCAACTTATTCTTTTCAGTATTTTGCCTAAGCCATTCATACATTGGCCTTCTGGACTTGCCCCTTAAGTCAGTCCTGCCAAGCCTTTAATCATCTTTGTAATGTCTCTGGCTTGCGTCCAGGTTGTGAATGCATATTCTTAAATCCAAGGACTCAGTATAGATGCAGGGAAAGCTGTTGAGAAGGTGTTGTTCTCTTTTCCTTTTTACACGTATACAACAGGGAAGTAGATGGGCTTTTGCCACAGCACCTGTTCTAAGTCCATTTTAGACTGAATTTGTCTAGCTTACATAGCTGATGGAATCATCTTAATTTTAATAGATTTTTGCTGTCAGGATGACTCTCCTCAGTTATTTACCAGATATTGCTGCTTATAGGTATTCTGATGCCATGTAAAGCAACTAAACGGTTTTCATGTGTCTCTTGAAGGCTCCCTCGTTGTTTTTTATTATAGCCCTTAATTATAATAAATCTCAAGTTTCTCATTGACACTAGTTACAACAAGGTGCTTACGATTAAAATATACATCGTTCACTAAAATAAGAACAACTTAAGGCTTAGATGCTAGTGAGGGTGATATTGTAGAGTGTATAATGTCCTTATTGTTAGGATATTATTGCCACTGTTAGTTCAGTTGAGTGGCAATTCAGGTACTTGTCAGCTGTGAAAACTTCTGTTTTTTGTTAAAACAGCTTTTGCATTCTAGTCATTTCAATTCAGATCATTTTGAAGAGGAACAAAAACAATTTTTTAACATTTAGCTTGGGAAATGATGAAAAAGTTTCTTTATCTCTGCTTTTAAAAGATTTTTGTCAGTTCAACAAGTTGACAGTTAAAGTCTTTCTTGCATGCAGCAAAGTACATGCTGCGTAGATGGCAAATAGCTTGCCTGTAAGTCATACCCACCACCACTGCCCTGCAAAACTGGTTTACTTAATAAAATTATGGTATATATCTTCAGAATATCAAGGGACACGTAAAGGAATGTGTCTTAAAGATATTTACATTTGCATGAAGACATTTAGCAAATTTAATACAGAGTTAAAATTCTAATTTACCTCAAGTATTTTTCAAGATTGGCATCTTAAAGCATGTGCTTTAATTAAAATGTGTTGAGCTGCTTAACTATGAACATTATTTTTGAACATTTGTGCTTAGAGCTTAGCAGAATTTCTTATTTAATAGATTCCAACCATACATTTGCTTTATGCGTAAATGACAGTATGAAGCTTTAAGAGCAGTGATTGCATTGAGGATCTACAGATGGACAAACAGGATGGCCTTTGCATAAATTATGTGACATATTTAGAAATCCTACATACATTAATCCAAGAACAGTTATTTATCCAACAATATAATGCTGAGATTGGCTCTTCAGAAAAAGCTGCTCCTCTTCCCCTTCACTGTGCATTATTTAGATTGGGGAGGAGAGCATAAGTCTTCTGAATTATACTAAATGTAACTTGTATGAGGTTGTTCAAAGAAAAAAAAGACAAAAAGCTTGGACTACTGGAAGCCTGGGCTTCCTCTGGGTTGTATATTTCTAAAAATACAGACATAAGCTTACTCTCTGTAAGCTTTCTTACAACTTCAGGTTGTCCTGACAACCATAACCAAGTAATGTACCCGAACTCTGTAAAAAGAAAAACCTCCCTTCACTTTCAGTGATACATTAATACAGATATGAACTGAGGTAGGTCAAGCGGGATTCAAACATTTCTGCAGTTAAAAAGCAAAGAAAACTTAATAGAGGAATATTCAGTGCTTAGGAGAAGTTGGCCTCATCAGCTCTGGGAGAGACTTTAACATCTTGTTGTGACATTCCACTGAGAAATGGACCTTCTGACACCCCCACGGTTTTTGTGAGTCTTAACAGAGGATTGATGAGCCACAGAGCTGCGGAAAATGCAAAACATTTTGCACGAGTTCACTCTTGACAAAAGAGGCTTTTTGGAGTGAGGATGGTACAAGAGTTACTCTACATGATGTATCAGTCTCTTTGTAGTACCCGTTAGCTTTAGGCTCATTATTTCAGAAAGTGTGACAAACTTCAGCAGTTCTTGGACATCAAAACCACCATGTTCAGCAGTAGCACTTCTGGTGCTTGCCCCAAGATGAGGAAAAGAATGACAGTGCAAGTCACTTGAGTTGATCATGCTTTGATGGATCTGTCCTCTTGTAGAGCATTGTAGGTTTATTCCTTCAAAGAACTTACAGAAAATCTTTGCTGATGTGGCCTACATTACTCAAGTATTTCCAGGTTCTCCTTTCAAGGGCAAGGTTTGCAATTGCATAGACTATTTCTGTGCTTTTTAAAGATGCTATGCACATATTTGCTTTACCCTTGTATGTCCTACTTGCACAAAGGTTTAAAAGTGGCTTTCTACCCAGAGAACCACTTAGTCCTTTGGAGAATTTTGTGTAATTTCAGACAACTTTGCTTTATTTTATTCATTATGTTTTTGATAGTTCCATGTGAGCTGGAATAGACTTTAAAAATTTTAAGGACTAAATATTAGTTTGACTCATGAGCGAAGAGTGGAAATTTGCATGGTTGGATGGCAGAATACATTTTCCCTATTTATTTCAATCCTTTGTTTTAGTGTATTCACAGAGTTTTTATATTGTATAGTGCATGGCTGTTATGTCTTTTCACAGCTAGAGGTGAGGTAATAGTTCAGAGAAGCAACATTTTTTCAGCTTTATAGATATGAACTGCTAAGTGTGAAGAGGAGGATGGGAAAAGTTCTTCAATCAACGCAAGGACTTTCTGGACAAGAACACAAAGTTTGCAAAATAGAAGGATGTAAGGGTGAGGTTTAGTTTTGCACTGTGTTAGTCAGTGGAGCAGCTTGCAAAGGATTCACAAGCGTATATTATATATGATTTCCTTTTGCATTTCTGAAGAACATCTGTGACCATGAGCTGGATTTTCTGCCGCGTTGCCCTTTCTCACCTCTTCTGTTCTCTAGAGCAAAGTTAAGACCAGAATAATAATCCCTTTCCATAGAGGTTTCCGTAAGAGATTCATTTGTCATCTTAATAAATATGACTGTAGCAAGGCTAATAATAATAAATGTTAACTAAATGAGTCCATATAACAAAGATGAGGTGTCACATACACAGTTCATCTTGTTTGCCCAGTTTGTACCTGTAGTAGTTCTTTTTCCCATCAGCTGAAGAGGTAGCAATGATTTCATCTTCACTTCACTCAGCACTGGGTTTTTTTTGCAGAGAGGCTCCTAACCAGCAGATAGTGACTTCAGCAAAATCTGAGACTGCATTAAACATTATGATGAGATTAATTCTGAATGCTAAGGGACCGAATTGCCTCTCACAATCAGATAACACATCCAGCTTTGCTGCTGCTCACACCTTTTATAGAAGGCAAGTTTGAGATGGCAAACAGGGTGCTCTCTCAGAAGCTGCTGAGAAACCACTCTGCAAGGGCACGGAAGCCATTTAGAGGCACTTCAGTTTCATTTTGCTGCTCCTAAGGACACCTACATGGCTGAATGAAATGAAAGTAGTTCCAAAATAGGTAGCTATGAACTACAGTAGTATTGAAGCCTTGTTGGCACTCAAACCACGTTGAAGATAGCTAAAAGAGCTTCTGCAGCACCTAGTGTGGTGTATGTTAGAATCGAAAGGAAAGGGAGGTGCCTTTCTTTTTGCTTTCCCTCTCTCCTCCAAGCTTTTCATTTACCTTACATGAAGGTTTGTAGTGAATAAATATAGTTGATTATTTATGATTATTTATAAGAAGCTGCTCCTTTTTTTTTTTTCCTCCTTTTTTTGCTTTATGGGACATAGCTGAAAAGGAGAATTTTCCATCTTCACTCTGATGTATCAGGTTAACTAAGCTTTCCACAGGAGATTAAAACAAAGTCTTGTTTCATCGTGGATTGTTTTGCAGAGGAGTTCCTAAGTCATGTTTCTGACTCAGGAGAGATCTATTTCAGAGTTTGTTTCCCTTCCAAATCCTGAAGAATACCTGCCTGCCAATTGATGTAGTTTGAAATGAATCTGTGTCCTGCTGAATTGCCAGGGAAAATTATGAGGGGGACCAGGAGTCAGATGCTTTGTGCATAGTTACAAAATGGCTTTAAGTGAGATAAAGTCCAGCCAGAAAGCAGTGCAACTACTTTGGGTGCTTTGGGTTTCTGAAGGCATTGCAGAAAGACCAAAGTTAGGTAGTCTTTTTTTTCTCCCCCCACCTTCCTTCAACTTAAAGACATTAGAAAACAAAGAAAATGCCTTAGCTGAAAATTAAAAAACACCCACAGGATAAGTTTTCATAACTTTTATTCACACTTTCAAAAATTTATAATAGGCCAATAATTCATTAGTAAGCTTTTTTCCCCTTTCAGTTTTCTGACTTTTAAACAATTAGTGTTGCCCATGTGTAAATAAAGTCTTCATATGCAGATCGCTCAGAAAACAGCACAGTCTCAACAGGCGGGTCTAGAAACCCAGGCAAAATGCCCACCCAAACACCAGGAAAACAGGGTGTCCCCGATGGGGCGACGGTGTGTCTCCTCCAGCCGTTCCCCACCTCAGGCCCTTGAGCTCCTTCAGGAACCACAGTTGAACTCCTGCAGACACTAGTCCCCCTCATCGAAAACACAAATGTTCAGCTCTGCAGTGGGTCGCTCAAACCGATGTGGGCAGTTCTGAGGAAAACAGGCAGACACAGGCTATCAAAGTGCACATACAGAAGGGTTTTCACTGTGCATCTCCAGCTTTATATTTGGATGCTATTATATTTACTGTTAATACAGATATTGTAAGCTTTTGTGTCACTGTCCTTCTGAGTGTAAAGCCTTTGGAAGGCGCCTTTGTCTTCCTATGAAGCTTCCTGTTACTAAGTACAGTTTTTGTATTCCAATACTAAGGATTTTGTTCTCTTTTAGGATCGAAATAGAATGTATGACAGTCTGAATATGCACTCTTTGGAAAACTCCCTTATTGACATTATGAGAGCAGAGCATGATCCACTTAAAGGTATGTTATTATGCTAAATAAAGCAAAAAGGGTCACCCATTCTGCATATTTTCATTAGCATTGATTGTTGACTTAGATCCTAGGTTCGTATTAAAATAGCAAATGAGTTATTTTCTCAACCAGTATGAAAGGTTATTCTGAATATGTATGTTATTGAAAATATTTGTTTATAGGTGTTTAAAACAGTATATTCTCCATGTTTCTCCAGCCCTCCCTTCCCTCACCCCCGTTGAAATCCACAGTTAGGTTCATCTGAAATCAACTCAGCTGCTGCCCCAAGTTTTCCTGCAGTTTGTGAAGACACTGATACGTTGGAGCTCACCAAAAGGGATTGAGGGGGAACCAAACAGCCACCAGTGTTCATTAGCCTAATAATTGTTCTGTCTTTGCAATGAAAGCTGAAAAGAAAGTTTACTGACAAATCCCATCCTTGTAAAAATTTTTCAGATTCTAGAGGACGTATTTTGTATAAATTGTCCTTAACAATAATCTAGAAGTATGCTTTAAAATCCTAATTTCTTTTGAATTTCTGTGCTTTACTGAAATTATTTGGCCACAACAGTAAGCATCATACAGCTATTATTTGTGGACTTCACTTTCAACTTGGGCATTCACTGTGCAGTAACTCATGTTTTTCCATACTCATTCTCTAACAGATTTTTACCCTTGAATTTGGGGGTCAGGAATCCAAGCCCATTTATTTGACCTGATCAAATGCCCTTTTATTTGTGGTATTAATATTAGGTAAACATAGTCTGACTTTAAAATTTTGGGAGACTTTAGACTTATTATTATTTTTGCTATGCAGCAAGTATATCTCAATTTTAAAAGGATTCAAATAAATTACACTTATTTTCATATACTTATTTACCTCCCTTTCTAGAGGTCCTTTGATATAATATACATTATACTAATATGTAAAGGCATCTCTTTTACTACTGAGAAACTCTTCACTAGGGTCTGGTGCTCTCGAGATAACGTAGTCAATTGGAAGACCTCTTGTATTCAGATAATACATAACAATATTCTAAGATTTACACTGTGAAGACGAAGGGTTTCTTTTTGTAATGCTGAAAATGCCTACAAAACACCACTAAATAGATAAAAAATAGTTAGCCAGGTAATATTCCACTTCTTTAGAGCAGAAGTGGAAATTAATGTTCTCAGATGTTTTTAAATAAAATCTCCAATTTCTTGATAGCTACAGAGAATTCCAGCTTTAACAAGTTATCATTTAAGTTCATGACTAAATTCATTTTCTGCCCTTTATGAACGTCTACAAAACAATACTAAGTAAAACAAAAAGATCGAAGTCTAGACAGTTAACTTAGTGGTAACTACTATGGTCTAAAAGCATAGTATGTCATCAGACAGAAGGTAACTAGTCAGATCGTTCATTTTTGAAACCCCTGCTGCTTCAGTTTAATACATTCAGGTGGTGGGTCATAATTTTATCTAAACCAAAATCCTACTGTAAGCAAGGAAATTAAAAGTTTAAGCTGCTGATAGGCAGGAAATTAGAGAATTCAGATCTTTTATTGTGATAGATGGTCATTAGCACCTCTCACATTCACAAAAAACAATCAGTTCTTGCATTTTCCTGTGCAGACTAACATGACAGGTACTTCAGGAAGCAATGTCCCTGTTTTCATTTTGCTTTTATAATGCATAAGAGTTTTCAGGAGCACAGAGAACACGGAGAAGACCCAGTTTTACTTTCATTCAATTCATTATGATAGATGGGAAAAAATATTTTTCCCAGTAATAGCTTTTAGTGAGAAAAAAGCAAGACAAAGCTTTAAGATTTTAAAATTATTTGTTTCCACATTTCCACATATGTGAACTTCTGAAAACCTCAGAGAAGGTTTCATAGTTAGGAGTGTGTGTTGTCAGTCTACAGACAATTTTTAGAAAAGTTTCACCATCATATACTTGGAATGAAAATTCCCCAAGTTTTATGTTTGATGAACTAAAACAGACGGAAGCCATAGATAGTGATGAATTCAAGGGAAATTTTTTGTTGGTTGGTTGGCTGCCAGAGAACAATGCACACATCATCTGAATTTAAATAGAATAATTGAGTACCATTATTTAAATAGCTTGGTAAGATATCATTTCTCTTTGGAAGATACAATTTCAGTTGAAAAAGCTACACTATTAACAGTGAGATGAGGGAAATGTGTGCCCTCGTGGCCAAGAAGGCCAATGGCATCCTGGCCTGCATCAGGAGGAGCGTTGCCAGCAGGTCAAGGGAGGTGATTCTGCCCCTCTACTCAGCTCTGGTGAGGCCGCACCTGGAGTACTGTGTTCAGTTCTGGGCACCCCAGTATAGGAGAGACGTGGAGCTTCTGGAGAGGGTCCAGAGAAGGGCAACCAGGATGATTAAGGGAATGGAACATCTCTCGTATGAAGAGAGGCTGAGCGAGCTGGGCCTGTTTTCTCTGGAGAAGAGACGGCTCAGAGGGGATATGATTAATATGTATAAGTTCAGGAAGGGAGAATGCAGGGAGGAAGGGGACAGGCTGTTCTCACTGGTGGCCAGCGATAGGACGAGGGGTAATGGCCACAAGCTGGAACACAGGAAGTTCCGTCTCCAGGTGAGGAGGAACTTCTTTACTGTTAGGGTGACAGAGCAGTGGAACAGGCTGCCCAGGGAGGTTGTGGAGTCTCCTTCTCTGGAGGTCTTCAAAACCCGCCTGGATGCCACCCTGTGCCACGTGCTCTAGGTGTGCCTGCTTGAGCAGGAAGGTTGGACTAGATGATCTGTAGAGGTCCCTTCCAACCTTAAATATTCTGAAATATTCTGAAATTCTGAAATATTCTGAAATGCTCCTTAGTGATTTTACTGACTGAGAACAGAAAGGGTAGAACACAACCTGGAATAGCTTTTTAGTTCTGCCCTATCTCTTCTCTGCTCAGTCATAATTAGCTGGTATTTGTCATTTCTGTAATTTCCTAGCAACTTTTTTTTCCCCAGAAGCCGTCTAACACAAATTTTATTGTGATCCCCATGGCATTTTCTTTTCACCACAGCAAATCTGACATTTACTTAGAAAACCATCTTAACTTGCTTGCAGAAAGCAGGCTTAATTTTATTGATTGCATTATTTTTATTAATAGATAACATACTTTGTTGCAGCTAAAAATACTCTTCGGTTGCAAAAATATTCTTACGACAAGTTTTTAAGCAAGTCTAAGGCACCCCAAAACAATGCATCTTTTATGTCTGGCCACTGCAGTAAAATGAAAGTCCCTGGAATGCTAAGCACGTGTTTCAGATTGAGCTGCTTATAATATCTGGAGTATGACTAAGCATCTTGTGTCAGGGTCTGCACAACGCAGAACAGGCACCGCACGCACTGGCTCACAGCTTTCGGGTCTGGACTGGAAAATCCATTTTAACAAGGAAGTCAAACTTGGTCACTTTTGCTTTCGTGAACTCGAAAAACTTACGTCAAATATGATTCACTGCAACTTAAGTTTATGCCTGCCACAACACTGTTTATAGATGCATAGTTTTGGCTTTCTTTAAACAAAGTTTAGGCAGCATTACAGACATGATCAAAAGAAAAAATAATTTTGCTTTTACTGAAAGCTAAAAATAAGAGGCTTTTGTTTGAATTTGCTGGCTGTGGTAGGCAATTGTATTGAAATGAATTTTTCGATGCCTTTTTCTCAAAATACATTTTATGATAAGAATAACCCTTTACAATCAATATTGTAAATCAACTGAAATTAGTACATAAAATAGTTCATTTTTACTATGTTTTTCTTAAATATCCTTTTATGAACTCAAAGTCTTGAGACAATGGTTGCAGTATTGTGTGGAAGTGAATCACATATACATAGATATTAGGAATAAAGCTTTTTCTGTAGACAGGCTGCTTTTGTGCATTTATTTATTTATTTTTCACCTCTCTCCTCTCCAATCCATTTCTCCAAGAACCAGTGTCTCCTGAAATCAACACATAGAAAACAGGATTCTAGCTATTTCAGAAACAACTCAATACGTAAGGATATAGTGGAAACAGGGTAAAAGGACTAGTTCTTTATAGAATGCGTGTTAGAATGGAGAAGTAACTGAGTTAGGGGGATTTATTATCCAGAACGGATTTAATTATGTTTCTTGTCAGGTGAGAGCATTGATACTGTGCTCAATCTTCAGTTGTTTTCTGTTTCCTAACCATTGTTTTATGCAGGTCTGCAAACTAGTTGTAAAATAATACTGAGCTTGAGTTAATCAGAACCACCTTAATAGGGACCACAAGAAAGATTATTAATACTTGATTTATAAGAAAACAGAATTGTATTTTCCTTATGCTTTTTCTGAAATCTGAAGAAAATGACTAGATTTTGCTGAAAACAAAAAGGGTCTTTTTTTGGTAGATTTAATAATGAAAAATAATGAAAGCAAAACACTATAAAATTTGGCTTACCTGTAGGGAAAAAACATAGTGCTTTTAGAAGCCTTTGTCTTGCTCTTTCTTGTTTTTATATTCCCCTTCAATTGCTTTCATCAGGCTTTTCAGGTGTTCTGCATGCTGCTTGTCAAAGCAACCTTCTGGAGCCTGCCCAGGAAGGCAGGGGTGACTCAGCAGCCCAGCACAGAGCAGAGCCTTCTTGGGCTATGGTGAATTGTGCTTTAGAAGAAATTGGTTTTATGTTTTCTGTTTTGCAAAGAGCTAATGTTGAAAGCTCTACAGTTACACTATTGAGTAGTTCAGGATATGCTTGGAAGAGAGTTTCTGAGGCTGAACAGAAGGAAGGAGAAACTTAGCTTTTTGTCACATTGAAGGCTGTGAAATTGCACGTGAAGAGTGGTTTCTGAAAATTTCTCTTATAGAAATTTGAAGAGGAAAAAATATTTGTGACGTTAAAGAAGGTGTTCGGGCAAACAGCATGCTGAACTTGCAAACCTGTGAGCCAGCAACGTTCATAGCCGTCATGGATACTTAAATCATTCCCAACATTTGAGTATTGGGATTCTTACAAATTGTAGGTATGAGTTTGCCTGAAAATGGAAGGTGAATAAGCAAAATTAAATAGGAGTAGTTAAAAGGAGGCTTACAACATTTGTAGTTTGCAGGGCTACATGAGATAGCCTTTGGCTTTTGTTACACTTCTGTTAAATGAGCTGCTCAGTCCTCTTGTCCTGCATTAGCAGGACTGGGTTTAGTACATAAAACTTAGGTGGAATTTAGTATTTTGTTGTTGTACATAATACATTGTGAGAAGTGGGGAACAACAGTAACGTTAATCAGATTTAGACATGGAAGAGGGAACTGAATTTAATAGAATTCTTAATTGTACGAGAAATCATATCTGCTTCTCGTTAGCAGTTTCACTTTGAATTTAGCCCTAACACATGAGAATTGCTAATCCGCTAAAATCACTAGACTCAGGATGGCACAGAATAAAAATCTGTAATACTTTCTGATAGAGTATGGCAGTATTAGGCATTGTGTTTATTCCAAATAGCGTGGTGCTAGTCTTGGATGATGTAAAGCTAAATTCTGCAGACAGACAATGCAGTGATTACTTGTTATTTATCAGAAACTGATATTTTGTAGTTTAATTGTAAGTGATTTTAAAACTACTACAGCATCATCATAGTTACTGAAGTTATTTTTAGGCAATCTGAGACTCTTGGAACCACTAGGATAAATACTGAATATTGAACTGCTTGTGCTGTTCTAGGTGATTGAGAGGGAAGTAGGCTGGGATTTGTGGAGTGGGCAGTTCTTAAAAAGCATTTTTGAAGGCACAGAACATCATGCATTGAAAGTAGCTGAGCAGAAACAAATGTAAGCTAAGTAAATAGCTGTAAGATGATGGAACCATTTTGTAAGCCCCTGTTTACATCTTGCCTAGGTTTGTATACATCCATTTAGCAAGAATAATCTGTTTAAAAATAGAGCGTAATGTGAGCTCTTTGTAAGACTGATCTTGCACCTCGTTCCTCACGTGTTCTGAATTTTCACATCTCGTTGAAGGCAGTTGGGGCTTCTAGAAACACAGCGTTATCCCTCAACAGGATAAGCTGAGGGATAGGAATCTAATTTGACATTATCAAATAGCGCTAGCTGTATTTTTGAGTAAAAAAAATAAAGTAAGCAAAACCCATCTATGTTGAAATGTTGTTAAGACTGTAAAGTCCTAGGATGAGAAGAGGTAGGCGATAGGATTTTTAAGGTCACTGGAATGTACGATATAAAGTGAGTGTATGTACATTGACATAACCATTTGAGTAAGACTAGAAAGAAGCGTCAATCCAGCCATATTTGTATTGAATGCTGTGTTATTCCCTGTGTTTTGCTCCCCCTTGGGACACAAGCTCTGCCCTGGCAGATCATACCGCAGCAAGATGAGGGGTGTGTGTGAGATGAACAGGGGAGGCCCAGGAGAAGGGGCTCGCGGAGCAGGGCGCTCAGCCCCTGGGCGCTCTCGCCACGCTCTGGGGAGGGCTTCATTGCAGCTTTATTCAACAGCACATTTTATGTTCCAGATGCAGATTCCGCACAAATCTAGACAAAGAAATAAGAATGCAAAAGCAGGGTTGCAAACCCAGAATATACTAGCTTTTAAAACAGTTTTTCTCTGTAGGTATTGACCTTGGTGCAGTTGTTTCCTGACGGACTTTGTATCTTACCTTTTTATCCCTTTTGAATATTTATCCTTTGTCTCCCTTGCTAAGTAACAATAGAAAAAAAATTCACAGACAGGGAAAGTTAATGTCACTATTAACTTAGGGAGCCTCAAGATCAGATAATTATTCCTCACAGTTGCTCTAATTACTTATTCTAGATAGAGTGTTCTGTTTTGCAAGAAACAGCACGTAGTGCTGCAAGTATTTCTGTAGCACTCTATATATTCAGAGCATAAGGGTGACAGTAATCATCTTGGAAGATTCCTGTCGTTAAGCAAACGAGAATTACTTTTATAGACCTAAGGAAAAAAAGCGAAAGGAGAACAGCAAAGTGCCTCGCTAAAGGTCACGCTGAGTAAATCAGCGGCAGCTCCGCGCCCGGAGCTCCGGGCCGACCTGCTCCCGTTCTGATCTGGCTGTGCCAGCCGGCGCGGCTGCGAGGGCAGAGTGCTCCCAGGCTTCAGGGGCGTTCGGAGGCGCCGTGAATGCGCAGCATGACAGGAAAATTGGGTTGTCTGTTAAAACTGGACATCCCAGAGATAAGGAACATGAAGGCAGAGGCACCTGCAAGCGTTTTTGCTTAATGGTTTGCCCAGACCTGATATAAATACTGACAGAGTTAGGGAATACAATGCAGTCCTTTGCAGTGTTGTTCCTGTGCCTCCTTCTCCTTCACAACCTTTTCCACATTTGAAAACTCTAAGGCAAATAGGCAGAGCTCCTGCCTAATCTTCATACATCCAGAGATTTTCTACGAAGAGGAATAGCATGTGCTTGTAGAGGAATCTTTTTGTTATAATCCTGGGACATAAAGCCTGGTTTTGTCATATCCCATAACACCAGAACAAAATTTCCTGAGGGACCTCTATCCTGCTATTTCAGGACTTTGAGAGCAAGGGCTCATCATGTTAGCTATTTTTCTTCCCTGTTGTTTCTTGGTGGAGAGTTTACATTCATTTTACTTAAAGGAGAAGAGCAGAACTAAACCCTGTAACAGTTTTTCAGCAAGAAGATTTTTTTTTTTCTTTTTGTCTAACAAAAAGTCATTTAACCACCGAACTGTTCTTCTAGGAAATTTCCAGTTCTGCTGCTAATCACACAAGTTTTCCAAAATCTAGGGAAAAAGAGTATACAATGGGAAATGTTAAGACAGCCTTAATATATGGATTGCTGCTTTGGCTTTCTTTTTCTTTTTTTCCTGTGTTTGTTTTTGGGAAGAGTTGGCCTTTTTTAAAGATTAATTCTCTGCAATGTCTTACTAGTATTTAAGTAAGTTACATGCATCTGCAAGCCATCTGCATACAAATCCCTATTTAAATCTGTGTAAGTTCTAAAGACTCATAGCTTCTCGACTGGATTCTTCACTATGTCTCCACAAACATCTAGTTTCCTCCAAAAGATTTAAATGTTTAAGTCAGAGTATTTTTTTCAAATATGTACAAGGATTATAAACAAGCAAGTAAGTTTTAATGGCAAGATGTATGGAAATGTAGGGTTGTTGCACATTAAGGCACACTTCTTCCAAACACAGCAGCTATTGTAAATTTGTCTGGGTCACTGTGCAGTCCGGGTTTGGTTTCAGCTTCCTGTAAACAGAAAATGTCCCCCTTACTGAACAGGAATTTGTAGTGAAGCTACTTCAGCTATGTATTTTAAAGAGATCATTTAACTCTTAGAAAAATACTACATACCATCAATTTAGTAAAAGCAGTACTTGAAAGTAATATCAGGAAATGGGGCTTCATGAAATTTTTATTCATTTGCTAGGTGTTTTTCTTTAGTAACCTACCACATTTTTTTGAAGTCTGTAAATAAACTAATACTCCAGCTTTACCAGACTTCCTAAAAATATGATTATATCCAGTGCATGTATATGATTCACCAGGATAAAACTAAAATTTGCTTACAGTTTTTTAAATGTTTTTATATGAATTCCTACTAACATGATTCCTGTAACATTGATTCAACAGAGAAACGGCACACTGTAAAAATTACCCTCTGTTAAGCAATGTGCATAGTGCAGTTATTCACAATCACCATGAAAGAGAATACTAAAGCAGTCAGCACTATTTCTGGGTGTCATGAAACAAAAAGTGGCTTTATCCTATTGGAGCTGATCCCAAAGCACATTGCAGATCTTATGACCAGAGAATTAAGGTTAAGAAGTCTGTTCCTGTCAGCTTTAACTTGGGTCAAGGGTATTGTTGGTTAATGTGCTTGGAGTTAAATATTAGCTCTTTATTTCCCTTAGGCAAACTGGAAATATAGCATATATTTGAATTCTAAGCTGTGCTTTTTTATTTCACTTTATTATTATTATTATTCTGGCATAATAACTCCAACCTCTGCATTTGTTTTGTTTTTGTTCTTTTTTTTTTTTTTTGTCTTTTAAGGTCGCTTGAGTTACCCACATCCAGGGGCAGACAATCTTCTGATGTTAAATGGTAAGTGCTAATCTTATAACAGTTTCTAATTATCTCTAGCTTAGCTTAGCTCTGAAACATTGGTATAAAATTATACTATTATATTCTGTTATTGAATTACTTGCCTCAAGTCTTCAGCCGTGATGGGACTGGTGCCATTTTTCAAAGTTGAATAGTAGAGCTAATCTTGCAACAGCCTTTCATTATATCTAGCTTATGTGAAATCTGAAATACTCATATAGGGATGTACTGTTCTTTTTGTTCTCAAGCCAGCTAATATTGTCCACTCTAAACAGCTACTAGAAATCTATTATGCTGAAACAGGAATTAGAAAGAGTGCCAGAAATACAGGGTTTTATATTTTGTGTACATACATGGTGAATTACACTTTTTTTTTTTTTCTATTACATTCATGTTAAATAAGATTTTGGTATGCGAGTGTTTTGCAACTGGCATTTCTAACTCCAAAATATGCTGAAGTTAGAGGGTTCATGTTCACGTTCTCTCCCAGTAGGTCAAACTTCATGAACATCTGCTACTCAGTGAAGGCATGAACTTTAGCCTGTGTTCAATGCTAAAGAAGGAAGCAGAGCTTGGTAATCCATCTAAGTCAATCATAAATCAGGGATTTTGCACACAAATGTTTTTTACATTGGAACGCATTGGAGCTATAATTCCACAGCTTCACTAGATGTAAAAAAGTGGAAAGTGCTCTGCACAAAGCCAGGGCATTTCTGTCACTGATTTATAATCAATGGAGAGTGATGGGTCTAAACTTACTAGTTAGGATCCAATCTAGAAAAGAATGCAAGCAGAATAGTTATTTCACTGCAGGTGTGTAGTTCTGTGGAGTCCCTTTTTCTTTTTTTTAATCGCCTTATCCCTCTACACAGTCATTTACATTTGTGTGAGTCGATACAAAATGTAAAAGAAGTCTGATCTCCCTTGCATAACACTGAGTATATGTTTTAAATTTCAAGGGAATTTGACTTTTGCTTTATAAACCACAAAAGTAAGTATTCTACAGTGGACGTCTTTGAAGAATCAGGTCTTTTGGTGCTTGATGATTTTTAGCATGGAGCATCCTGGAGAGCAAAAGTAGCTACTTACTATTGAAATAAAATTTGTGGTTCACCTGCGCAGCCCATATTGCTAATTCCTGGTTGGAAAATGCATTGCGTATGGATGTCTTTGATGTTATGAAGCTCAGAACAGCTACCTGTGTGTTTTGAACCACTGCAGAGCAAGGCCTACAACTGCAGAACAAGAAAATGTGCAGTGAGTGACAGTGAATAATTCCAGACTGGCACTTAATAACATATATTTTGCTTAGCTGTAACAGCAGATTCCAACAGATGTCATTTTGATTCTGGGACCCTCCTCTGCGAGCTGTTTTGTTCAGGTGGTACCTGTGCCATGTGGTTGTCTACTGATTTATAATGAAGGGAGGATATTAAAAATTAAGCAGTCTTAACGAGCAATTGTCAAATATTTGTGTGAAGAACTTGTAGATTTTGTCTGCTTTAATGCTCCAGACACTTCTGGAGCATTAAACTTCTCTTTTTGTATTTTATGCTAAAAGAGCAAATGGGCATTGTTATACTATGGAATATCTTAAAAATATATCTGTAAAAACAAGGATTCTTTGCTATTATCAGTGACCTTGGTGAAACGCATCTCTATGTTACCAGTCTATCCTAAACACTTTTCCATGGAGCTGGAATATGCACTGGAGAGTATCTTGTTTTGTTATTCATCCTGGTGGAGTTCCCACTGTTCCTTTGGAAGTTAGCACCTAGCATTGTTGCCTGTGATCTGCCTTCAACAGACAAGACAAAAACAATTGGTATCTGGAAGATAGATGCTGAAGTGCTCAGCTTTCTGCTGTGACCTGTAGAATTTAACTCAGAGCCTCGTTTTAGACACCTGAAGTTCCTAAATGTATTTTGGAAGATTGAGGTATCTCATAGTGCAGCCCAGCACAGCCAGGTATGTTGGTTAGGTCCACCTGAAGCTGGAGGGTCTGCACTGCAGCTGCTTGCAGCTAGGAAACAGAAACAGCTCAGGACAGCTTCCAAGAAGTACATCCACCTGCTCAGATTCTCCATTCCAACCTTTCCTTTTTAGCGAGATTGAGGGGCTTCCTCATAACGCCTCCTCATAATACCAACAACCAGAGCTGGAACCACCTTCCAGCAGTTGTGGACTTGAGTTTGCTCCTTTCCTTCGGAGGGTCACGCTTACTTTCACAGCATCCCTTTTAAAAGTGCTTTAAAGGGAGGAGTAGGCAAGAGGAGAATGGGAAATCCAGAGAGACCCTTACAGGCTCCACAAGTTTTCTAAACCTTGAGGAGCACCAATCCCTCAGAAGGAAAAGCAGCTGCTTTTTTAAGGAGCTTCATCCTGTTGCTCTAACACCTAGCACTGGATCGTGTGTTTTTTAGTACATGAACTTGTATCTCTGCGTCCCAGAAAAGTTTAGTCATTAGCGTAGAATTCCTTGACCTTTCTGTGACTAAGCACTTCATGGGTTTGGTTTTTTATTTCTTTCTTCAGCCCATTTAGGTTCTGCTTTGCACTATTTCAATTAATTTAAATGAACAAAAGAAGTTTTATTTAATGTACCACATACATTGCCGAAAAGTGCTAAGGTTATTGGACTTGAAGTCAAGGAGATATGTGCATGTTATCTATTTATTGTTTTCTAAAATAAATCTGTATCTGGTACACTTTTCCACTCTGTGAAATCTTTGAAGGATTTTGATTAATTAAGATAACCAGTTTTACAGAGTAAAGTATACAAAAGACATGTCAGTATAGCTTATTCTTTGAAGGAGCCTGAGAAGGAAGAAGTCTTATTTCTCCTCTTTGTTGCTGTAATGCCCAGTAAATTAAGTGCACCTGCAAGGTGTACCCCCCAAAGAACTAAAGAAAATAACAGTCTTTTTCTTTCTCCTGCAACTGTTTCTTTATCTACACATGTGCACACTAGTTAGATAGAAGTATATCTTAAATATACGTAAATATAAATGGAAATAAGTGTGTATAAGGATATATGCCCTGCAGAGTCTGATACCACATGTACATGTTACTTAAATACAGAAGAATTTTTCTGACGAAATCTAGGACCTTCAGAAAGGATATCTCGTTGCTCACATTTTGTATACTGAAAGTTGACTGAATCAAGAGTCTGCTTTTCAAGCAATATCTGGCCTTTATATGTAATATAGAAAGATTAAAGTACTGCAGTTTCATGAAGGGCATGTTTAACATTGTATATTCAGTGCTTTGGGAAGCAGTCTGTTTGATAGCCAGTATCCTGCAAGACAAGCTGCTTGCACTTAGCGTTACCAAAACACCCTGTCTATAACATAACCACTTTTATGGTTTTAAAGATGGGGCAAATCTAACCAAGAATAACCATTTTTTAAAAACATACATTCTGATGTTGTGAATTGCCTCATTTATTGCATTAATGCCTACAGATTGCCTAAGAATGGAATTCATTTTTTCTAGACTTAAATTGGGAGAAAATCCCCTGCACAAACCAGTTTGTAATTGAAAGGGAAAGACAGATATATAGCAAGAGTCAGAGCTTTACCATGCAAGTAAAGTGAATAGTGTTGCAACAGTAAACATGACTCTGTCCCATTTTCTGGCTTCATTTTTTTGCTTAAGCAAAGACCTCCTCAAAAAGACACAGGTAACTGTGGTCATTCGGTGTAATTTCAGTATATCTGAACGAAATGCTGCAGCAGATACTCTCTTGTTTGGATTGCTCCGGATTCTATTTTTAGCATTTTAATAATGCTTTTGTGTTTCTTCTTAAAATTTTTGTTATCTTTTTAAAAATATACAAAGAAAAGTAGTTCAAGTGTCCTGTAACCCAGTACCTCATATGTGTATCAGGTTGTCTTAGCTATGAAAATTGGAGAGAATAGCTGAGCTGGTTTGGTTGGCAGAAACAAGCAGAACCGGAGACAGAGAAACAAATACTAAGCTGCTTGCCAGGAGAGGCTTCTTACTACGCAATTGTATCTTATTCTTTGTGAGAGAACTTGCTTCTGCAGTCGCTGTGCATGCGATGCGCTTGAATCTTTCCTCATTATTCCAGTTTTGCTTGTGAGAGGAGAAAAGGAAGCAGAGCAGGTTAGCCCAGGGCTTAGTGCCACTGCTGCTAGTGCTGCATGGGAGTCGCCTGGGCCGAGAGGCAGCAGGTTCTTCCGTGCTGCCCTCCTGGCAGGGCACTTCCAACTGCCTGGCCCTTCAGAGAGAACACACGTGGCTGTGTTTTGTGGCTCCTGTTTGATTCTGGAAATCTGCATTTCTCTCGGCATTTCCTTGGTGTTTCCTCTTGGTTGGGTACCCAAGCCCCATTTTGAAACGAGGCTTTTCCATTCTGGCATTCTTGTAGAGGTTGAAGGTTCTGAAAATTGTCAAGCAACAGATTTTTCTAATAATAATCTTTTTCTAATAATACAGAAATATAGAAATTCTATAACACAGGAAAACATAATTTTTCTAGTAGTAATTCTTTCAGGGAAAATAAAGTAAATGTAAAGGCATGTTCAATGCAAGTTGGGTAGGAATGCACTGAGAGCTGTGTAAGGGACCAAGAGCTATAAGGAATAAAAGGAGAGGTTTACAGAATTTCACAAACAATCCACTAAATTCTTAGTTAAAATAAAAATAAATGTTATACCGGGAAAAAAAAAAAGTCTTTGCAAATGGGAAGAACCAGAATATAAATGTTTAATGATATGGAAATGGGACTGTGAATGCCATTTACAAGCTATTGAGTTTATGAGGTTGCACGTTAATCTATGACCCAGAAGAAAGCTGCTGTTTAGCAGAGGTCTGTGCATGCAGTGCTAGGAAAACGAAAACAGTTACGTAGGACAGAACCATCTTTATTCATGAACGTTGCTATAATATTATGGTTTACAGTAACATTTTCTGTTAGAAAACAATAATGTTGTAATGATTAAAGTAACCTTTCTCAGATACAAAGTTTGAGAAAAAGGAATTCAAAATATCTTAATTGAAAATGCTTGCAGCTTAATGCCTTTCTATTGGTAATCTATTTTTAGTTTTTAAGTCTTCACACAGCAGAGCGATCAGTCGTTTGTAGGCCTGTGCTCTTCAAAAATCTTGCAACACTCAGAAGTTTAGAAAATCTTGGTTTACTTGCAGTCTGTCAGAAATTGTTGCTTTGCCTTTGTGCAGTGTTTTTGATACAATGGTGTTTCTTGTGACTTGTGACCTGATTTTGTTTGCCCCCACAAGGAGTCTTTTGTTTCAAACAAAACCTTGCGGTTAATTTTCTGCTAGCTCTTTTCATGAAAAAGGAAGGTCACGGCTTATAGCATTTGTATTGTCACTGCAAAGGACTGTACAAACTGTTCCATGGACCAGGATGTTTCTCTGATTAATTTAATGCTCTCTACATGCTTTTTAAAGTAGTATTTTGCTTTTTTACAGTGTCAGTACCCTGTGTGTTATAGATACTCATACAAGATGTGCAGTTAAATTACAAAGTTACTTCAATTCTTATTTCCATAATTAACATGGAATTAAAATCCAGTATAAAAGCACATTGAATATTTAATGTATAATTTTTAAGTCTGTGCAATATTGCTGTTTTCTAAAGCGTATTCTTTATAGCTGATGTTATCATCAATTTAGTAGTAAAGTAGGATACTTTTTAAATAAGACTTCACTTTAATGCAGTCCCCACTATGTAACAGTGGCAAATACTGATGCAGATTTTTACTCATCAGTTACTCGCAAAGCTTTTTTATCATAAGCAGTTTAATATGCGGCGATGCTAGAGTTGCTTGACATTTTACAACTTGTCCTTTGTTTACATGCAGCGAGGAGTTATGGGCGAAGACGAGGTAATCCACTTCTGTTTGTTACAGTGCAATTAATTCTGGTTGGCCTGTTACTGATCATTGTGATTAATTACTCCAGTTGGTTGATTATAAACTCTCATCCGCATGTTTGCTTAGTTTGGGGAGACGGAGGGTGTGAGGGAAGGAGTGATGGGGTCTGATTTCTTTTGGCCATTGATCTCTCTGCATTAAATTTGTATTACAAATCCTTTAATCAGTTAAAACACTGTAGCACTAATCATAATTTAGTCAATGCTAATAGCTACTGCTTGCAGAGTTGTCTCTGTTAATAGTGTATTTGCTAGTTTTTTTCCTTTTAATTTGTTTCTTTTGCTTCTCTGTGTGGTAGTGTATAGCATTCAACTAAAATCCTCTCACAGGCTTGATCAGAAATGTATTAAATACCTCTTCAAAAGAGTAACCCAACTTCCATAGCACCAGCCAGTATGTGCCCACTGACCTTAGAAGGCCATACTGACTTAGCAAGGTGAGACCAGGACCTGTGCTGGTTATATAGGCCATGTGAAGTACGAAGGCAAAAAGGTCAAGATCCTTTGATATCTTCAGATACTGAGATATGCTCGAGTTCATGTCTATATCTTCTCTGATTTCTAGAGTGGTAGAGAAACCACTGATCAGTCTTCATAAAAGGCTGCTTGGTAACCTCATTTTGGAGAGGAGTGGTGGTCTAGATCGTGGTCTAAATGTGTAATAATACAATTATGTTTTGACACTTCCTGGCAGATTCTGCTTAATTCACTATGCTAAATCCTGAAAATTCCATCTTTACATTAGCAATAAATGTGTTTTCCTTGATTACGCATAATATTTAATTGGTGTGGCAGCTTGTTTTGGAGCAAGAGTAAGAACCACTTCCTTTAAACCTTTGTTTTTATGTTTCTATCTGTTATTATTGTACGTGCAAACTTCTCTGTCTTACTTGTGTATTAAAAAAGAAGAAATAAGTGTTCTTAAAGAACTGCCTTTTCCTTCAGAATCTTTGGGAGGAAATAGAAAACCTAGAAAATGACCTCTCCTTAGCTGCAGAACATGTGAAAGGGAAGAGGAGAGATAAGGAAGCCTTGGGAGCCAAAGGCAAAGTATTGCTCCAGATGGGCTCATCCGTTTCCTCTCTGTCATCCTGGCTCTCCGAGGAGCCCTGGGCTTTGGGCAGACTTCTACCCACATCAGAGTAAAGCTGAGCCCACTGATAGCTCTTCACAATGTTTTCTGTCAGTTTAATGCACAATAAGACTGGAGCTAGAGACTCTCATTCTTAGATTTTAGCATTGGCCATGAAAACAAACCTGTTCTGCAGATTGTTTTTTTTTTTTTTTTTCTCCTTTCGCCCCTTTATATACATGGATACATTGTTGATCAGAAATGGTGCTATCTAAGGTATGCTTCTAGACAAATATAAATATATAATTTTCATGGTGAGAAAACACAAGTAGAAATTGTTTTTTGTTTACGCCAGTTTAAGGAAAAGCTTGTTAGCATTATAATATTGCAACTAAAGCATTTATAAAAAGTTTAAGTCACTTGGCAGTTTGCTTCTCATTTCCTGCAGTAGATAGGCTTGTAGATGTACAGAGCAAAACTATGCGTTTTTTTTAAAAGATAACAACTCATTTTAGAGTTCTGTTAGAGTGTCCATTTTAGAATTAAGGCATTAAGAATAACTCTTACATATTAGTGAAAGGTTTTCAGGTAGCACTCTTGGAGTTTCCTGTGAAATGGCTCCAACTTGAGGGAACACTGTACAACTCCGGGAGCGTTGCTCTGCTCCTTCCTTCTTCCAGCCCTTTGTTGCTTCTCCTGTCTCACCACAGTAAGAGCTCATTCTTCATCGTTCAGATCAGTAGCATTTAATCCTTTTTTTCTTGAGTGTTTATCCAAATCTTGACACTTGGTATGCAAGCAAAAGATCCCTTTTTCCCTTAGGCTTCCTAGCTGAAACCAACACCTACATTACTGAGCTGCAGCGGTCTTTCCTTTCTCGAGTCTTCACTGCGTTGTGTCATCATTTGCTCCTGGTATATCCACAGAGATCATTTACAAAAATCATCTTCTCGGCTGCTTGTTTCAACTCTGCTAACTCTTTCTGTGTGCCTACGTTACTGCCCCATGGAGAATGAAACGCTTGTTTTGACTCCCAAAAATCCCTACACCCATTCTCTGACCCGAGCTGCTGAACACATGTATATGGTGGCAGCGAGGAGGCCACCATACCATAGCACGGTCACTTGCTACCTGTTGGCCACGTTTTCCAACAAGCATGCCAGCACCTCCAGTGGAAAGAAGGAGCCTACTACATTTTTCTGTGTTGTGTGCATTTCTCTCTACTTACTCCATAGATGTGGGACACCAACATAAAATATTGCAGGTAGTGTCTTTGTAACTTCAGTACACGGCAGGAGTACTTTTGTCCCTGCTTTGATTTTGTGATCCTTTATGACATTTTATTGTTTTGCTGATGTCTGTCATTTTCTGGTTTCATTCAGTATTTTTGACAGACTATATGGATTCAGAACCCAAATTAGAGCGAGGGAGCGTTACCACAAGATAGGTCAATACAAGTCATGACTTTGCTTTTCCCCACCCCTATCTTAAAACTTGATTCTCAGGTGGTTCTCTCGAGGTCTTTGGTACTGCTCTCACCTGCAGTGGATCAGCACTATTTCTGCAGGTGTTTCTGAGGTGCTTTCCAGACAGCATCCCTTGAGAGGAGAGGCAAGTTATAGGCGTCAGGACTGCACATAAGATACTGCACAGTCCTGCTGTCAGGGACCTACTGCTTCTCCCTATGGATTTGCAGCAGGCAAATCTGGGAGAAGTTGCCTAAGACGGAATTATTTACTCCATTTTATATTTAAATGTAAAAAAAAATATTTAAATTACCCCAAGTGAACTTTTTGTTTTTTCTTTTTGCTTAAAAGCAGTTGAATTAATACCGATTTTAAAAACGAGAGAAAAAGAGGCAGAAATTGCACTTGAGAATTGGTGGTTATCTGCTGTGTCTATTTTGCCCTAGAAAAGTAGGTTCATTTGGGGCTTTCTGAAGTTAAAGACAAGCTGCTATATTTGAAACTGCCCTTAATATTGCTAGTCTAACGCAGCAGCGGTTTGAATAACACAAGATGCATATCCTGGTTTTCAACATCTATTTTGGAGTTTTCTAAAATTTGTAAAAGCAAAAGATGGGGTGACGAAAGGAGGTTTTTGTGTGTGAGAGAGAAGGGATAAATTAGTCTATTTTCACCCATCCCCACATCTTAAAAATATTTTGATAGCTTTGCTTAGCATGTCCGTGCTGTGGACAGGGCAGGGGTTTTGTGGCTGCGGTGGCTTTCCTGTCAGGACATTGCTGTGGGGGGCACGGCGCTGCCCTAGCCGGGCGGTAGCACCCTCACCTCACTGCGAAAGGCTTCCCAGAACTGGCAAATTGGAGAGCGAGAAGCATGAATCAGCCTTGCAACCCATTTCCAGTGTTACATTATGTACATCTGTAGCAGTTCTTTGTGGCTTTCTCTAGAAACTGGAGAGAATTCGGTCTCAGTTAATCAGCATCAAGTTCCTTAAAAGGGATAAAACTTATTTGCCTGAAACTTTTTGTTGGTGTACGTGGTTTTCACTTTCCTTCTGTTTGGTTAAATAGATTTAAACATACAAAGGCATTCATGTGATAGAAGTTAATATCTTAACTTGAATCTACACAGAAGGCAGACTAATAAAATTCGTTTAAGCAGCTCGTACTAGGATCTCTCTGAAATACAATCCTTAATTTAAAGATAAATTTTTACTTTCTTAGTGGATGGTGCAGAATAACTACAGGATAATTTGTACGAAGGATTATGCTTATATTGACATCATTTTATAATCTAGAATTTCCTTTCCGAACTTTAATGCTTTTTTGTGTGATTTTATTTTTTTCCTTTTAACTAATGTATACTTTGCTAATACCTTGATGCTTTTGTTTTTACTTTCCAGACTATTGCCCTCTTCACTAAAATTACACACCTACATAGTGTCTCACAATTGTTTTAATATTTACTCCTATTTTTTCTTCTCTTTTTTAAGGACGTTCTTCGCTCTTCCCGATAGACGACGGTTTGCTGGACGACGGTCACAGTGATCAGGTTGGAGTCCTGAATTCACCCACCTGCTACTCGGCCCATCAGAACGGGGAGCGGATTGAGCGCTTCTCTCGCAAGGTGTTTGTTGGAGGCCTCCCGCCTGACATCGATGAAGGTGAGTGTGCTGAGAAGGAGCAAAACCACATGAAGGACGGGAGAAAGAAAGAGCTGCAAAGACATAACTGGAGTAGTGGAAGTAGCCTACCCAGTCGCATCACGTTGTGCTGTTGAAGGCTACAACCACATTTTTATAGAGAGCTGATGGGAATGTTAGGCTTACTGTAATGCCATTGCTTTCTTTATTTATCCTTTCTTCTGCACCTGCAGATTGCAGAGTTCCATATCAAGCCTGGAATTGGTGTTCATGCTCAACCTTCATTCCTACAAGGAATGCATGTTCCTTTTAGATGCACCTTAGCCCTCCATGGTATCAACTGTGTGCTCGCTTTGTCCTCTGTTAATAGCAAATGACTTTTCATAATGGAACTTCAAATTCCATTTTACTGTTACCTAAACATCTCAGAAGGGAGTCAGGAAGATTAATATTATTTCCATCATAAATAGAGAACTTAAGGCAGAAAAAGGTCAAGTGGCAGAGTACCCTGTGATGCACTGAGTACAGAATGTACCAGAGAAGCTCAGATTATTTTGTGATGCAGTTGGAATTGCTTTGTACTGTACTGTTGATCTGAAGTAATCATACTATTCAATATCAGGTTTCTTCTGTACAGATAAGAACAAATTACATGCTAGCTTTGTAATGTAGGCAGAAGTCCATTTACAAGGTTCAGTGTAATCTTAGAGTAGCTTGCAAGCTAAGAAAGCTGACTGTGGTTAATCATCTCAGACCTGGACAGTCGATATTTTGGTTTCATCTTCAACAAAATACTCTCCTGCAATGTCCATTAGTTCATTTGTTTGTTTTTAATATAGCTCAACTTTTTTTTCTGTTTGCTATAGCTTCTATTTCACATACGCTCTGTAGCTTCCAATTCAAACACTAATCAAAGATGCATGGGAAAAAGGAAAAAAAAAAATCTCTCCTGACTGTTCACATGCTGATGGTAGGATGCATCTGAAAGAAACAGAACGTATTTGTGTTTGAGGATTTGTGCTTGTAAGGTTTAGGGTTGTTCCATTTTTCCTCCTGCCGGAGGGTTTTATAAGCAGTGACAGGAAGGAGTAGCTGGAATTGAAAAACATCCCGAAGCTGCGTAAGGCGCATGGTAGATCCTGTGGCAGTCCTGCCCATGGTTAGGGCAGAACCATCTCTAAATGGGCCATCTGAGTTTCCATGCGTGATCTGTGCATGGGGTCTGGTGAAAAATGCAAGCATACTGCTTGTGAAGTGTCATACCATTTGACCCACTCTCTTTAGTTGTGCCTATCCTTCTGAAATACCCTTTTTATTGTACAATAAAAGACAAAATTTGCTTACATCACTGGAGAGATACTGTATAAATAAGTCTTGGGAAAAAAGTTTTTGTTCATAAAAATTGCAGAATGTTCTGGAATGGGTGCCATTTCATGAATAAAAGAAACAAAAGTCTTTGATATTACTTTTTTGTTAAGTTATAAATGCCACTGATTTTAATTGCAATTACTATACCTGTTTTCAGATGAAATTACTGCTAGCTTCAGAAGGTTTGGGCCGTTGGTGGTTGACTGGCCTCACAAAGCAGAAAGCAAGTCCTACTTTCCACCTAAAGGTAAGAGAGTTTTAAGGTTTGAGCCTGTCCCTAAATGTAAATCAGAAGACCCCCTCCGCCCCAAAAAAGTGTAATTTATAACCCCTACGAAGATTTCTTTAATACCAGATCAGTGATGTATAAGTATTTGTGTCATTAATTTAAAGCTCATTATTTGTGTTTTTATCCAATTTCTAAAATTAAAATTCAGTCAGATTCTTAAGACTAAATCTTAGAGACAAATTTTCGTTAAAAATCATAGAAGATTCAAGGAATGGAAAAATACAACTCCTGAAATTCGGTGTTTTAGTACACCTTAATAGATTTGGAACTTGTAAATATACATTTAATGGATACTCAGTTACTTTTAAATATTCATATCAGATTTTGAAAACACTTTTACAAAAAGCAAAGTAGTAAAAGTTATGCCAGAAAATTTGATCTAAATACCAACTTTATGTTCATTTTACTTTGATGCTGTGAACTTGAAGCACTAATCCTTGTTTCTATAAACAGGTTCCTTACTGATTTTAATTATTTCACTGCAGTTTGAATAACACTCAAAACGTAGTTTAAGTATTGGATGATGGATTAAATAATTTAAATTATTTAGCATATCTCTGTACATGTGCACTTTTCTATTGGAATGCATTAAGTAAATGGAAAAATCTCTGCCAAATTTTAAGACAATGTGGAGATTATTCAGCATGTAGAGAATAGAGCAATTCATTCCTTCGCCTGAAGTGACAAAACTGAGTACAATGGCTCTATGAACTGATTGTTCACTTGATTACCTGACTATGCTGGCAAAAAGACAGAAATATTATCACAGATGGCTCTCTACAGAATGGGAAGAGGAGTTTAAATCTTTGAATATTATTTTTGGATAATATCAGAGAATTCTAAGGAAAATAAAGAGACATGGGCTTTTTTGATTGGTCAGTCGGTTCCACAAAGGTACAGTTAAATTACCTTCGGTTACCATAGAGAGGGTATCTACATTCACAAAGTACCAAGAGAAATTCTTGAGGAGCTCTGAGGAAGACACAAAGCCTGTGTTCAATATAGAAGTGCAGGAAGATTTAAAGGGAGTCAGTTCTGGCATTAAGTTCCAAGCATTTCCATTAGTCCTGTCTCAGATACTGCACATCTTAAGGATATGTTTCCAGACTTCATTTAATTAAATAAAACTTTTTCCTGTAGTTGGAATGCTGATAATTACCATGGTAAAATATTCAGTACTGTAAACAGAGTTTCTTAAAAGCAGAGGATAAAGACAGAACTTGCCTCTATTGATCTAATTAACTCAGGAAACACTTAGATGCTAAGCATTAATTTCGATGCATGTGGTCAGCTGATCTGTATTTGATATTTAATGATTCTTACTGCTTTTTACTTCTTTAAAACTTCTGATTTTTTTTTACAATATTGTTTTGTAATGTGACAGTAACCTAATATTTAAAATATATTGTAGATTTATCTGTGTAGATAACCTTCAAACATAGTTCACTATTAACTGTTGAATATCCAGGTTCATATTTGCTTCTTGCAGTGCAACAGATATGTCCTGTGATCGTTTTGTAGTAGAATTTCATGGAGATGTGTGACTTGCTTGTTCAGGTAGTCGTAGGATTCACTTGTGCAAACAAGAAACAATAGATGTACTTACTAAGCTAACTAAAAGTGCTCAAGTCAGGTTAAATACTCAGAAAGCTTGGAGAGTGATTAATAATTAGCAACAAGGGGTTCATTTTTTGACTCTGCTTGAAGCGGGTCTCCTCCTGCCGGAGCCGCCATGTGGAGAGAGGCGCGGCCAGCCGCCCCCCTACCCGGGCGCCATGTCCAGGCCGCACCTCCTTCCAGGCGCTCCGAGGGAAGGCCGAGCTCCTGAGAATATTTCCTTGCTTGAAGAAATGCAGAACATGTCCTCATACTTCAAGGCTGCTGCCTCCTGAGAGAAAACAACTGTTCTTCCCTAACCAGCTACATTTACATCAGTTCACCACAAAATTAGGCCCAAAGAAAAAGGAGATTTTAAAGCTTCAAACTAGCCTGGCAAGGAAACTCTACTTTGAAGCCGGAAAATAAAATCTGTTAAAGTTGAAGTACAAAGTCCCCAAGTGATCTGCTAACTGTAATGGGGAATTCTTTCCTTTTTATCTTGTCACTGTTTACCATAACTCCTGTTATGACTTAGTTGTCAAATAAATTTATTTATGAAACAACACACATGTTCAAAGCAACTTGCTGAAGTGAGGACTCGGTTCTCATAGAAATCAAACTCAGAGAAATCTCGCAGTGAGGATATGCCAGTCCAAAGGAGGCTTTTCTAAACCTGAACAGTTGTTTGGGAATTCTGCCTAGTTGCAGTCAGTATCAAACAGAAGATAATCCCTTTGGAACAAGCCCTTGGTCCATCCAAGTTCTGTTTGACTTGCTCCTGGTCTCTTTGATTGCCCTGGTGGGACAGAGCTCTGGATTCAGGCGAGTGACTGTGGGCGTCTTCATGTGTGGTTAGTATCTAAGCTTCCTTCAGGCAATGGGAGCCCAGCCAGTACAGTTAGTGTGATACAGAGGGCGGTTCCGGTCACCGTAACATGAGGACGTTGGGTTTGATGTATTTGCTCAAACCTAGTCTAGCTAAAAGACTGGCACAGGGCTTGCAAACGTGATACGGTCCCTGTTGAAGCCCAACATGATTCCAGAACAGCAGCTGATAGGATTAGTTCTTATGAAGGTTTAATTCTTTTAACATTTTGGAGAGGAGATACTCTTTGGAGAAGTCTGTGGCTGATTGACACACACATTGTGCCAGGAGGTGAACCCTGGCCCATGGCAGGTGATGAAGAAAGCGTTTGTATCCTGATAATTTAGCCTTATGGATTAGCCATATCCATGTACCCAATTAGCAGCTCTGACAAGTAGGTGGTTTCCTTCAAGCTAGATCTGCACAGAAAACAAGGATGCCCTGTAAATCAGTGAGAGACTGGAGCTGCAGAGCAAAAGAGAGCTGAACAGTTTAATACTAGGTCTTACATTAGCTGTCTTCATGCCTTCAGAAGGACAGCAGTACGGCTAAGCATCTCACAGGAGCCTGCCTAGGAGTGCTTAAAAGTTGGGGAGGTGAACCCAGATCCTTTACAGATGACATAGAGAAAACTGTCATAATGTTAGTTCTATTTTTGCTTTCTATACTTTTATTTCAGGTGTGACATAGTAACCTTAATTATTCCTAATTATTCCATCATTAAGTTCTTATGTTTTATTTTTTAATCTTTTTACTACCTTCCATAATTAGGCATATTAATAGCTACAGGCAGACAGGTGGTAGATTGTCACAAAGCACTGATGGTGTTTATGTACTGACAGTTACATGAAAGTGCCTCTAATAAACTGTAGAGTAAAAACTGTGCATTGAGCCCTCCCCTTCATGAGTCACGGTTTTTTGTTTGCCTCATTCTTCCACTTAGCTCATGCCGATAGGAGTATGTATGTGTGCCTGGCTTCTGTGAAAGCAGGGAGAATGACGTGGGCCTCACCTGTTCCAGTCTAGACATGCTCAGATCCAGTCAGTCAGTCCTGCGTGGATAGTATGTTAACTTTAATTTGCAAAATGAATAAATACAGAAAGATATATGTGCTAAAATAGATTTTGAGTCTGAATAATGACTGAGTTTAATGTATGTAGATTATCATTAGTAAAAGTTATTCAATGATAAAAAGTGGACTTCACAAAGAAATACTTCAGCTAGAGTTCAGTTTGAAAGATTTCCTACAGAATATTTACTTGAAAAGTAAACAATAAATAAAAATACGGACTAAAAATACAAACTTTGCACATGTCCCTTACAATTATTGGGGCAGGGCTCTGGGGTCAGGGATAAGAAGCAAGGATAGAGGACTAAAAGGATGAGTTTAGGTTATGGGTGCTGCAGTTTTTCTGTTTTGTTAGCACACTGATCACTCAGTGCTCCTCACAACGTGCGGTGCCACCTTCACCTTGATGGCTTAAGCTGTGTGTTCACAGTCCAGCTGCCAGCAGTTCAGCACTACCGGGAGCTGGGTTTCATTTGCAAAGGCCACGCTTCCTCTTGCAAGCTCACTGCAGAGCAGCTGCTTCAGCACTTAGTTTTTGTTCAAGCAATAAAGTCTTAATTAGCGTGAAAATTTCGTGTTTATTGGTAATCTCAGATAGAAACGTGGATTTATGGTTCTAAAATCCATTAAGATTGCAACTGTAGTACTATCAGACACTTCTAAAAAACTTCTATATGTATTACTAAACTGTAACCATCAAAATATTCAGCAATATTTGATGCTTCGTTTGTCAAGCTGTTTGTTTCTACTGTAGAATTCAATAACCATTTTAATTCCTATTTTTGTAGTGTTTTGAGAGGCTCGCTGGATCACTTATGTAACAAAATGCTTTGATCTAATCTTTAGAATTGAGATTAGTCCTTTGTGCCAAGTTGGATTTTCATTGTATAATGTCCATTCCTGGCAGAGAATTGTGCTTATCCTTGATTTCCAGTATGCGATAGAGCAGCCAGGTTTGCTTTTATTTGATTATTAATCTCACCAGGCATTTAAAAAAAAAAAAAAAAAAAAAAACAGAAATACTTGCTTGGAGCTCTGTTGAAATTAATTGATCTTGGCAAAATAGTATAGGTGAAAAAGATGGTGAACAAATAAATAACTAGTTTGACTTAGTCACGTATTGTAACAAACATTTTCTTACAGGAAAGCTAGCAAAGAAGATAAAGGAAAAGTAAGAGGAAAAATAAAAATGGGGTCCTTTTTTTTTTTTTTCCAGGTTATGCATTCCTCCTTTTCCAAGAAGAAAGTTCTGTTCAGGCACTGATTGATGCCTGTATTGAAGAAGATGGAAAGCTCTATCTGTGTGTTTCCAGTCCTACGATCAAGGACAAGCCAGTAAGTAAACAGTAGATGGCCTGCAGGCTATAGCTGCCATCTGTCTGAAGCTGCATTTGAAATGATGATGATGAAAATAATCAAAAGCAAACTACCATTGGCAGAGCTCAACATCTGGAATAATTGGATGATTTTAAAATTGTAGTGTTTTGAGTTGATAGAATTTAAATAGAGCAGCTAGACATTTTAAGCTAATGGGTTTGTGACTGTTTGACAGTTTAGATAGGCTGATAAACATATGTCTGTAACGTGGTAAAACTTAAAGTAGCATAGCATTTCCTTCTCCTACTTTATAGGTTCAGATCCGTCCCTGGAACCTGAGTGATAGTGACTTTGTGATGGATGGATCCCAGCCTCTTGATCCTCGAAAAACGATTTTTGTTGGAGGAGTCCCCAGACCCTTAAGAGCTGGTGAGTGTAAGATGTGGCTACATGTGAAAGAAGAGATAATAGGCAGTATGAGCTGTGCATACTGTATGCATTTGTGTATATACATCCTTGCATATATATAATAGAAGATTGTCTTGAGAGCAGACTATACACACTACTATGAAATTTTTTTTTGATGTTCTCTAGTAATTTTCCCATGCTGGCTTTGACCACAGATCTCTGTTTTAGAATCACTGGGAAAAGTTTCTAAAGCTGTAGAAAATATTTTCATCTTATATTAGCAAAACCATAATGTAAATAATGTCACAAGAGTTACATTTTTTTTAAATGATGCTATAGAATACCTGCCATGATACATTAGTGTAGGATACATTGGGATGCAGTTCTGAAAGATTTAAATATTCCACCTAAATAAACTGAGACACTGATTGGCTAAAAATGTTATTAGAGACTAGCCAGAGCACTTTTTAAATATTTTAAATAAAAATGTACTGTGTAAACTTTGTAGAAGAACACTTAAAATGGATTTTTTTTGCTTACAGTGGAATTGGCAATGATCATGGACCGTCTCTATGGTGGAGTGTGCTACGCAGGCATTGATACCGACCCTGAGCTGAAGTACCCCAAGGGTGCAGGACGTGTTGCTTTTTCCAATCAGCAGAGCTACATTGCTGCCATTAGCGCTCGCTTTGTTCAGCTTCAGCATGGCGATATTGATAAACGAGTAAGTTACACATAATCATTAATTTTGCAGATATTTGCTACATTTGCACCTTCTCAAGTTGAGGGTACATGTATAAATTAACATTACATTTGGATGGGCTTTGGTGGAAATTCTTTGAATACATTTCTTTTAGTAGTGCTGTAACTCCACTGTCTCACAGAATTAAACCGTGATTGCCACTGACCAAAGAACACAGTTCCACAAAGCAGCAGTTTGTTCCTTGGACGTGAGCTGTGCCATATGCTCCTTCCATTCCAGAGAGTATGCTCGTGCTTTTGTTGTGTATGAGCAAGGGGTTGCAAAATCTTATTCCTCCTTTATTCTAAGGAATCCAAATTCTGTGATGGATTCCTCAGTGATTATAGGAAACTGTGTTATCTGTTAGTTTCAGAGCTTTTCTGTATTTTCAGCTCCCAAAATTTCAGCCATGCTTGTCAGGCTCAGTGCTTGGGAAAATCAATCAACTTGACACCTGAATATGAAATGTCCTATCCTTTGCATTAGAGAGAGCCTTCTGAGTATTTACCAATGTATGGTGGTAGATTTAGCGTTAAAAGATATGTGAATAGATACGGACTGTTTGCAAAAGGAAAATGAGCTGGATGTTAAGAAGTCGGGTGGGCAGGGGCGGACGTTGGCCGCAGAGCTGCAACCAGCGGCCTGCGGAGCTGCAGCCTCCAAATGTGGCCCTTGCCAAAGCCAAGTGCACCCAACTGTGGCTGGCGAAGTTGGCATGTTAGGATGTAACAATTACATTTTGCTGATGCATTTCCTTTTTGTGTGTGTTTATTTTGCATCAGACTTCAGCTATTAGGGATGCTTTGGGGCTCTGTGTAATAGGGACAGTGGTTTTCGTATCGTGGTTGTATGGAGGGGAGTGAGATTCTTCATGATTTTGCATTGCAGTATTTGGACAAAATGGAGTCAGGACCAGAATCCAGCTTGTACTTCTAAAAAGTTACTTGGGTATATCGCTGAGAATCAGGTACAGCTTAATCTGGTTAAGGTACTATCTGTATTGCATTTTAGCTGTAAAGCAACCTAACTTCACAGCAGCAGCAGATAGTGTTTCCCATCCCGACTAGCTCACCATAAAAGGTGAGAGAAATGGACTTAAGCCCTGTAAACCAAATGGCACTTTGGTCTTACTCTTTCCATGAAGGTGGGAAGTTATGCAACGGACTTATATGGTAATTGCCACTGAAACTGGCAATTTCAGTGTTTTACCGTCAGGTTTTACATAATTTCAGTGCAGTTTCAGTGTTTTATCATCAGATCTTACATAAATACCTAATTTCTGTCAGGGATAGAATTTTACACATTTGTTCTGTGGCCATTCTTACTGTCTGTCTTTAATTCAACACATTTTCTGTCGTGAATCATCTTCAGGATCTCTAGTTCTCCCCAGTCACTATCTGTTTTTCTTCTGGTTATAAATTCTCTTCCCCGAGCTTGGCGCTTAAAAATCCAAGTGTTTCAAGGCAGTTTGCATTCTGTGTGGATACAAGCTTTATCGTGCTGTTCGGTTGCCACCCACATAATTAGGTTAATGTAATTTCCCTGCCTTTGATTAGTGTTATAAGGATAAAATACAGGAGAAAAACAGGTTAGCATAGGTGAGCAGTATGATCGGTGATCCACTAGTATCTAGTTAATATAAGTCATTTCAAATAAGAGAAATGTCTCATGACTCAGTTATAGTGTAAAATTTACTTGCAGGGTGCTTCTTTAGCCAGCAGAAATTGTCTTAAAACCTAGGGCTCTTTCCTCTACCAAGATAAGTTGTTAACAACAGTTAAAACTTGGAATATTGTTGTTACACGTGTAAATTTGAAGTAATTTAAACTGTATGTGCCAGCCCCGAGGTCTGCAGTGTCCTTAGGTTCTTATGTTCTTATTTGAGAGATTAGAAGACTTTGTTCTTCCTTTTCACCTGTTTATATTCTATATCTTACATTTATATTTTATATATTTCTGTGTGATTCTAAGAGTCTGTATGTCTGTTCTTTCCAAGATAAACGGTATCATAACTTTTGCTGTTTCATTTAAGAAGAGTTTTGTATGTGCCTAATAATTTTCATTTCTCTGAATCTCCTGTAGTTCTGCGACAGGATGATTGTATTGATGATGTTGCACAGTGTCTTCACAGTGGACAGCCTAGCAAAACAGGACAAAACCTTGTATCTACATTTGCATTTAACTTGCTCTCTTTCTAAACCTGTTTTTTGCATCATACTTTTGGACCTCGCGTACTTTTAAATTTTTATTATATTGTTACAGTGAAGCCCATACATTTTTCTTGACCTGATTTACAGTCATGAATGATTAAATCGGATTCTAGATCTGTTTTCGTGAACCATTTACTAAATTACTTAGGGGAGCTGAATTTGCACAGGCTTCTGTGGATCTGAGCAACCTAAATCATCATCTTTATCGTCTGAAAACTTGGCTAGCTTTTCTCCTTTTTCTTTCTAGATCAATAAATAATATTAGAACAGTTTATTCCTTTGAAAGCTAGATGCAACCTGTTGTGTGATAACTTTGACATGGAATTTAATGTAAAAAAATTCTTATTCCCACAGTTGAGTTCAGCTGGCAATAAAACAATCAAAGGGGTTAAATTTATTTATGTCCCCAAAAATCAAATTTTCACATCCCCTCTATCTTCTGTCGTTTCATTTCTTGATATTGGAAAGCAACTTCATTCCTGCCTTTTTTTAAAAAAAAAAAGGGAGTAGATGCTTGCTTTTTCTTTATATTTTCTTGCAACTAGCTTTTTTGGGTGCTTCAGCTTAGAAAATCGAGTAGCAAGTTGACAGCAAGGGACACTCATGAAGCCTAGTGTTTGACCACCCGCTCCTGTTTTTTTGTTTTTATTTCTTTGTTTTTGATAAAACTAGTTAGCAAATTTAATTCATTCTTAATACACTGCGTATGACAGCAAATCAAGTGGGTTGTGAAGGCCGATTGTGAGGAGAGTTGGGAATCTCTGGGAGAAATTCTGAAAAACAATGGAAATATTTTCAAAAACAAATCTCTGCTTAGAAATCTTTCTATCCTTTCTTTTCCCCACTCCTAAAATAAGAACAACATTTTTAAAGCAATTTACCAACACTAACCTTCAAGCAAAGCAAAAACTGGGTGTATGCTACCGGGAGCTTAGGATCCACATAGGTTGGTTTTGCCTGTGGATGTCGTTCAGCAGGAATTATGAGGGATTTCTGGGTGCTGAGCCAGCCTCTGAAATGACCCTGCTTCCTCCATGCAGGGAGATTGTTTATTACATGATACATAACTGCATTATTGCAGAGAAAGACAAAAAGAAGTTTACAGTAAAAACGGTGCGTGTATTGCAGGCTCCTGGCACATAAACAAAGTAGATTTCAAAGGAACAGAGTTGTATCCATGAGACTCCAACAGTTATCAGTTGCTTCTTCGGTTACTCTTAAGCCGAAAACATATTAAGATGTTAAAAGATACTGGATATAATGGAGAATGTGTGAGATCAGAAGCTGTGGATTCCGTTCCTGAGTTCAAAGGGTTCTCAGGAAGGAAAAGAGGGAAGGAGGTCCTAGGTTTTCTCTTCAAATATTCTCACTGAGTCCTTTTCATTTATTATAATTCTTGGTCTTTATTAATAGTTTTCTAATTCTTCAAAGTTATTTTTTGATTCAGATATTTTCAGATATTCTATTGCTCATTGGAAAGTTGTAGTGTAACTTGTGGCAAGTCAGGTCCCTGCAGTAAAACAACCCGTCCAGCTTGCACTCCTTATGCACCGTGGGAAGAAGTGAACTTGACTTCAGCCATAGACGCTGTGACGCTGTTGACGTGTCACGTGTGACATCCCCTTCTGAAGCCGAGAGCGTGAAGGCTTCTCCACTGCAAGGCCTTTGGGTAGCGAGCGCAGCTTTTTGTTGCCCTGCAAACACAGAAAATGGGTTTTTTTTTTTTGCTATTTCAAACATTCTTTGTGAGTATTGGACATCAGGTTGACGTTTATAAGCAGGATTCTTCTCAAGTAATGATATCTCAAAAAAATGATAGAAATGAGTTCTTAGTGTAAACTGCAGTAGTGCTTTTGCTAACGAAAGTCAGAAAATACTGCTGTGAAAGGTAAGGAAAATGTGAAAGGCAGCAACACATTCCTTAATGATGCAGTCCAGTCATTTTGTAGTTTATTATGAAGTTCTTCTTCCTGTTTGAACACAGTCTGTTACAGTTCAGTTTCAAAAAGCCGTAATGCAAATGAACCACTGGATTCCTGCCACTTTTCCACTCTGGCAGTCAGACGAGCTCGGGAGAAAGCAGCTATCTGTGCAAGACAGGTGTTTCAGGGAGGCTGGAGCTCTGCAAAATGGTCCTTCAAAGCCATTTTCTGAAATCGCACGTTGTGTACACATACACAGCTCAAAAACACCAAAAAGGGACAGTAAAAGACTGCCAAGGCTTATGGACCAAAATTTAACATACCTTTTTGTAGAAATTGGTGTGGATTAACAGGGCTGGAGTGCTAAAAGGTCTGTATTCCAGCCTGCAGAAAAAGTACTTTTAATTTACTCATGTAAATAGTACGATGCAGAGACATACCCTTCCTTTACAAAGAAAAGTGGAGGGTTAATGTCTAGCTGATGACATTCTTATGCATTTAATTATTTTGCTAAGTTATGTAAGATTGGAAATCAGATTGATTTGGAACAATGGGGAACTAGTGCGGATAGTTTGGGGTTGGGCATTGGTTTGTTTTGTAAAGATAGTTAATAGTAACACTTCCAAGAACATCCTTCCAGAGTAAATCAAGTGGAGTTCTAAGGCAGCTGTTTGTTATATACACAGTGTATGCTGAAAACCTGTGCCTTTAAGTGTTTAGTGCCTCTATGAATAAATGAAAACCCGTTGAATGATGAAAGGTAATGTAAACTGGTGCATTTTGCTGAAGCAACTTTGAGTCTGGGTACTGAAAATGCAAGTGTGTATGTGTATGTATTTATATATTCATGTTTTAAAGCAGTTTGAAAGCAGAATTCATAAATAGTTTCGTCACTGAAAGCTAATGGTCAGTTTAAAAGTCTCCCTCTCTCCTTCCTGGTTAGATCTTGTTTGGTCAAGAGAGTGACTGCCAGCATCACCAGTGGACATGAAGTTCCATACACATTTCAGAAAAACTTTTTTTTTTTTTTTTTTTTTTTTTTTTTTTTTTTTT